CACTGAGGAGAGCCTGGGTCCATCCTCTTGGCACCCACTGCTTTATATACTTATATACACTGATGAGGTCCCCTCTCAGTTGTCTCTTTTCAAGGGAGAACAGGCCCAGCTCTCTCAGCCTTTCCTTGTAAGAGAGATGCTCCAGTCCCTTAGTTAACTTCACAGCTCTCCACTGGACCTGCTCCAGAAGCGCCACGTCTCTCTTGTACTGAGGAGCCCAGAACTGGTCACAGAACTCTAGATATGACCTCACCAGGGCTGAGCAGAGGGGCAGGATCACCTCCCTTGACCTTCTGGCAATGCTCTTCCTAATGCATCCCAGGATTCCGTTGGCCAAGGGCACACTGCTGGCTCATGGGCAGTTGGTTGTCCACCAGGACATCCAGGTCCTTCTCTGCAGCACTGCTTTCCAGCAGGTCAGGCCCCAGCCTGTACCTGTGCTTGGAGTTATTCCTCCTCAGGTGCTCAGGACCCTGCATTTGGCCTTGCTGAATTTCACAATGTTCTTCTCTGCCCTTCTCTCCAAACTGTTGAAGTCTTTCTGAAGAGCTACACAGCCCTCTGAGTTATTGGCCACTCCTCCCAGTTTTGTATCATCAGTGAACTTGCTGAGGAGGCTCGTTATTCCCTCATCCAAGTCACTGATGGACAAGTTAAACAATACTGGGCCCCATATAGAACCCTGGGGGACACCACTTGTGACAGACCTCCAGCTAGTCTCTGTGCCACTGATCACGACACTCTGGGATCTGCCATTCAGCCAGTAATGAATTCATGACTTCCAGGTCAAGCTGGAAGTGATAAATTCTCCAGCCCAGACTTCCAGATGTTCCACAGAAGAGTGAGCTTTGTCTGGCATTGCAACGATCTGATAAGTTTTACAAGTGCTGTTTTAAAGTCAGAAAACTGGACTGAAGGGTTCAGAGTGACCCAGGGTTCTGTCCCACAGAATCTGAATATATTTTACAGCACACAGCATATGCCAGAATCTTTTTCTATATTCCACATTTCTGATGTAAGATATAAAGGGATGGATGGTGTTATTCATGTGGAAGCAGAGCATGAAGAGAACCTGTTCCAGAAGCAATCACCTCTAAGCATTTGCTAAGTTTCAGAATCTCTGTTCCTTGAAGAGGAGCAAACACCGATCCTGAGAGTGGTGCCCGCCTCACACAGAGCAGACAGGAAAAGGTACAGTTTTAGCTCACTTTCCCACCAGCTCACTCATCTGGAAGCAGGAAGAAAATGAGACAGTCACAGACCTCCCAATTCTTTTTGGCACATTGCCCTTATTTTCTTTGGCATGCATGCCAGAAAATTCCACACAACAATTCTACTGATACAAGATTATGCCAGCCTCGTATTGCAGTAAAAACCTTTAGAGTCATATACCAAATGCTAGTCAGGGAAACATTTGTTAGTGCTGCTACATAGACTTAGCCTTTCTCTAAGTACAGTACTTCAGATACTTCAGACCCTTTGGATCCATCTCCTCATCGGCTGCATCTCAGAGTCTGCATTTATCTCAGAGGTAATTGCAATTCTGTGTATTTGGTAGCAACAAAGTTATTCTTGAACATTAAAACCAGGTTTGATTTTGAGAAAATATTTTCCAAAGGCAAGGTCCCTTGAGGCAAAAGAAATAGTTTGATCTGTTTTCTAAAGTTAAATTTTAAGTCTTCTTTTTCAGCTATTTCGGCACATACTTTGAACTCTGAAAATGCACAAAATAGAAATAATTTTTGAGAGAGAAAACTAGATTTTGATTGCCTGACTTTTTCTGATCTACTTAGTGTCCCTTCTACAAGGATGTCTAGTTGCTTCTACCTGCTAGCATGAAAAAAAGCAGAAAAAACACTATCAGATGCACAGCACAATTTAAAGATTCACTTACTGCCCCAAGAAATCTGTAGATGACAAAGTAGTAGGAGGTAAACTTGGTTCACCTGCTGATTAAAGCTCAAAGACAAACAGGGTGCTAAGTTCAGTCTTCATAGCAAGACACTGCTGAACTCAAAAAAAAAGTTCAAAATGTTCCAATTCTCTTTTGAACTATCTACTGAACTTTAACTTCTCCCCCATGCTGAACTGATTTTAAACAGAGGGTTCAAAGAGTGTAACCACTGAACCAAGTATTGCTGTACCTAGAATGTTTCTCAACAGGAATGACAGATTTGTTAAACTTACTAAATGTTATCTTCCTCATTGTGTACCAGACAAAGGTCAAAGCTGCTGAGCTTCCCTGTAACCGCACAGGAAAACGCTACAGGTATCCTTTCTATTTTAGTTAATGTATAAAAAAAGAGCTTGAATTTTCTTCATGGCAAGTATTGTATAGCTAGAATATACACTGAATCAGACAGCAAAATATAAGCACTGAACACTTAAAATATTTTGTAAATTATGGGGATATAGCAATAGAGTTACATCAGTGTGCTGATGTAGCTTTCTCAGTTACAAAAAAACCCCAAAAAAACCCAAAAAAAAAACAACCAAGGCAACCTGACAGATCAACAAATTTGTCTGTTCTTTAAAACTTCCTCTTTAATAGCAATGTTTTTGGATACTAAAAGCACTTTCTTTTCCTTTCAAGCATTTTTCTGGCATTATTTTGCTTGCACACTTAATGCACAAACTTTTGGGGGGGGGAAATCATGTGCTTTTCTCCAACCAATAACAGTAAATGCACCTGCTCTTTTATTTCAAATTTGATATACATATAAAACATTGTTGATTAGCAATCTTCATCTACTGAAATGACTCCCAATCAAAGCCTTTTTCAAAAACTTGTATGCAGCTAGCACTGTCATGTTTTCCTGCTTCATTGTCATACCTGTTAAGCCTAATGCAAAGTTCTATTAATAATAAAAACCAATGGTTATAGTTGAAGAGTGAGGATCTCTTTTTGGTTTTTTTGAAAATGAGAAACAGCCTGTTGAATGTGCTCTGTTCTAAAGCTGAGAGCCAAAGGCAGAAGGAAGGATGGTGTGTTGCCCCTTCCCTCATAACTTATACACAGGGACCAAGTTATTCTTGAAAAATGTGAATGTTTAATCATATTTGTCTTGTTTGTCTCTCCTGGAAGAAAGAAAACATGGATGCAAAATGCAGAATTTACCAAATGCTGCCTGAACCTCTTGATTAGTTATCATAATCAGAAAATTATCACCAACATCTATAAACATACTTGTTGTTGTCTCAAGTTTTATGGCCACACACATTTGCTATCACTTCTCTGAAAGCACTTGCATTCAATATACCTTTATACCTAGACAGCTATCATCACTTGTCTTTGGAGCTTGGGCTTGATGATTCATGTTAAGACTTCCTCTGTTCCAATTTTAATACAAAAAAAGATTGCATAAATGGCACTTGGGCAAGACTATGAAAGCACTGACATCCATGTCACTTTAAATTTCACTTGACATTTCCTTCAGCTTACACCACCCTTCTTTATGCAATTTCATAAACACTAAGTGCTCCCAGGAAACATTCCTCACTGTCAAATCACACACACCTCCCCCAGGTTAGAGTAACTGCTTCCAAATGCTGCAAAATGCTCTTCTCCTACCTCGTGTTGTGTGCTGATGTAACTTTCTCAGTTACAAAAAAAAACCCAAAACAAAACCGAGAAAACCAAACCACACCAAAACACAAAAAAAAAAAAAAAAGAGAGATAGCAATAACCATACAATAGCTGTTCCACTGCCTGGCCAGGAGCTAAAAGATCTCCATCCATCTGGGGAAGGTTAAAGGCAAAGTGATAGAGAAAGGAGAGGGTAAATATAGGTTTTTCACGTCATAACGCATTTGTTTGTTAGTCACTGGACATCATGGGCACACCAAAGCAGCACACTCAGGAAGAAGGACATTTCACTTTATAAATGTAACATTTCTTTAGTAATAGACACTGATAAAGACAATAACGAGTAGCTCCATCACAATAGTTTTGTTGTTGTTAAGTTTCTTATAATGATAGCAATGTTGGTGCAATCTAAATCTACTAGATTTACTGTGAAAGCAAAACAACAAATCTGACAATTGTGCATGATTCTGTTTTTCTTGTGCTAATTTTAAGAAGGAAGTAATTAAGAACATTCAGTGAATACTAGTATCTAAAGCCTTCTAATTCCATATAATTAACCTCCTTGAAATTAAATGGGTAGACTGTACACAAAGTGAAATTAATAATTTCCCTTTAATTTTTACTGTCCTCAAATGTAACTGTTAGAGATACTCCACAAAACAAAGATATTGTGGTCAGTGATAGGAAATTACAGAATAGAAAGAAGAAGAGTTTGTTTGTGTCTTCTTTTCTTTTAGGTTGGCTAGGACTGTGTTTTAGAACCTGAGGGAAGACAGATTCTGCTCATAATTCATCAGTTTTTCAACTTCTATAAGAATTCTCTTGGCTTTTTAGAAGAGGATTTGTTATGCAGTGGTACAATAAACTATGCAGAAAGTAGTGCTAGCTGGTTTTGAAAAAAAACCTATAAATTCTGGCATGTCTTGATTAGTTCTTTGAATTAATCTATATGTACTAAATCTTTGGTATAGTTCAGCTGCAATTTAACAGTTCAAACTTTAGATTGTTTTTAAAAGTAGACATTTTCCAAGTAATTAGAAGACACTAAAAATAAAAGGTTTGTAAAATCTGGGTAATTTGAATGAAAGCAATCATGTACGTACAATCCCTTATTACCTGAAAAGAGGTTATAAAAGCTGAAAAGTCCAAATGAGAAAGAGAGTAAAGGAGGAGGGGGAAAGTGATTATCTCATGATTGCATCACTTCAGAATAGAGAATGAAGCGCCATGATCAATAAACTTCATTGCTATCAAGTCTCAGCAAGACAAAGAGAGTTTAGAATGAGCCGTGGAATGCAAAAGCTTCAGGCAGAGAAGGGAGTCTTGCAGTGAAGAAAAGTCTTCTGTGTCAAAAGGAGCTGTGGTGTTTTACTGAGAGTTTAGTAAATTATTAACACACTGGTCTGCTGCTTAAAAATATATTATCTATCTATACTGGTTGAAGGTGTGTAGTCTGCAGCTGCAAAAGAGGTAGCTCTGATCTACTCAAACCTGTGGGCATGAGATGGAAAGACTGGGTAATCTGCCAAAGGGGAAAAGAGATTAAAATGCAAATAGCCAAGTTATGGAATATAGAAAAATCAAGATATGGCATGCTCTGATTTTTTTGTTTTCACAGTTTAAAGGTGAGAACTAATAGCCTTGAATCTCTATGTTAAATTTGAGGAAGAGTGTCCAAAGAAGAGCAATGAAGCTGGTTAAAGGTCCTGAGAACAACTCTAGTGAGGAGCAGGTAAGGGAGCTGTTCAGTCTGGAGTTAAGGAGGCTCAGGGAAGATCTTATCACTCTGGATAACTGCCTGAAAGGAGGCTGTAGCAAGGTGGGTGTAGGCCTCTTTTTCCAAAGAACAAATGACAGCATGTGAGAGGAAACAGCCTCAAATTGCACCAGGAGAGGTTTAGATCAGATCTTAGGAAAAATTTCTTCACTGGTTGTCAAGCACTGTAACTGGCTGCCCAGGGAAATAAGGGGCTGAGTTGCTATCCCTGGAGGTATTTCAAAGACCCATTGGTATGGTGATTCAGGACATGTTTTAGTGGAGGAGTTGGCAGTGTTAGTTTTATGGTTGGACTCATGATCTTTTCCATTCTAAATGATTCTATCATTCTAAGAGGAGAAGTAAATGATATTAATTAACAGTTGGTGAGCAATGGTTTTTGCAGATGCTAACACAGGATGTTAATTCCCCAAAGTATACCTTTCAGGGGCTTGTGAAGAGAACTTTGTTTTCTAGTCACAGCAGCATAAAGATTGGAGGTCATATTGTTTGTGCGTGTATGTGGTATCATAATCATAGTATGTGGTGGTATTTGACTATTATAATCTGAGTCCATTTCTCCATCAAGCACTTGGAGCATGGGGGGAAAGTATGCCTTTTTCCCTCCTAAATAAAAGGCCTTTGTACCATAGTGCAAAGAGCTTCCTAAATATTTCACGTAAAACTGTAGCTATCAGTGAGGTTAAACTCATGCTAGTGAAAGAAATAGAGGAGAAAGCCTAACAATTCAGTATGAACACAACTGTCATAACTAACAGGACAATGGGGAGCCCAGCTGAAACCAGCTGGTGATATTTGGAAAGCCCCTGGAGAACACTGTCTAGGGAAACTGCTAAACTGGAACACGGGAGCAGTTTGAGCCCTGCCGTCCCTTTTTCTGACAGAGGTTTGTAGGTCTGAAATCCTGCCAGCTAGAACAAAATTCTTTGCTAAAACTTGTTCGTTCCATACCTTTCTGCGCCTTTCTCGCAGAAACCAGAGAGGTGCAGCCGGGCGGGCAGGAGGAGACCAAGCGGAGCTCTGGGTCAGGAACCCCCCCCAGCACGCAGCGGGACTTACCATGCCGGGCGGTGCGAGGTCGGAGAGCGGCGATGCTCAAGCGGGTGGCAGCGCTGGGTGACCGGAGGCCGGACCCGAGGATGCCGCCCACACCCACGGCACCGGAGAAGCGGCTCCACCCGCGGGCTGAGTGGCCCCGGAGCGAGGAGCGCGGGGCGCGGAGCATCCCGGAGAGGCTCAGGCTCCAGAACATCCCTGACCTGCCCTGCCCTGCAGAACCCAGCCCAGTCCGTCCGCATGCCCTGTTCGGGCGGTAATCCCACCTCTCCGGTCCAGCGGTAGCTCGGCCGGTGCCGGGCTACAGCCCAGGCTGCCTCCAAGCTTAACCACTTTAAACAGCTCGTCTGCATCGTGAGCGCCGGGTCCAGTAACTCTTCTAATCTAATCTAATCTAATCTAATCTAATCTAATCTAATCTAATCTAATCTAATCTAATCTAATCTAATCTAATCTAATCTAATCTAATCTAGCGATCTGATCTAATCGCCTTTTTCCGTGTAGTCTTCTGTAGTAAAATTCTAAGTGTTCACAAGGCAAACTGAAACGTAAACTCATAAAGCTACTCACAAAGCGTTTATCTGAAACTATTCTGTCCATGGATTGCTAACACCTGTCATATGCTATACTCTGTGCTTGTGCAACATTCCCTTTTTGAGGGATATGGCTGCATAGCCATCCGGATTGCCCAATACATATTTGTCATGATTAAAAGTGAGCCCAATTTTACAGGTCATTGTGAAGTAAAAGGTCCATTAAAATGAAAGGAAATACATTGTTAATGAAGATGTGGAACTAGATCTATTATTTGCAGAAAAGCCTAAGTATTCATTTCTTCACATTATCTAGATGTCTGTAGTTTCTTTATGTGTAACTGCTACCTATTTACTTATTCAAGGATGTTTGAACATGAATGTAATATGAAATGGACTTATAGTTGAGATGGGTCAGTGATTACTTGGAGTCTGCTACTATTTTCTCATTAGGTATGACAAAAATGTAGATGAGAGTCTGGATTCTCTCATGACAGATATTTAAGCTGATAATTCTGCACCAAGTAATTCTGGCTGTTCAGTCATGGACTTTTCTTTTTTCTCCTTTTCTGACCCTGTTGTACAAAGGTTACTACAAACTGTTGTAACCTGATCTGTTGGTCATTGGCTATTCAAACTCAGTATTCTGTTCCTGCAAACTGGTATTACTGCTAACAGCTACAGGTATTAGGAATCCTAGTAAAAACTAGTGAAAAGGGTCTATTGGTTAGCACTCTTAAAATCAATTACTCCCAAAAATGTAGTCACTTTGGTTTGCTTGCCTCTTCACATATTCACCTAATGTATAGGTGAATAGCAAAAGGCCCAGACCTTCCTCCATAATAGATTTTTTTTCTTCTAGGCCTATCCAGAGTGTATCAGACCTACAAAGCAAGAAAAATTCATTCAGATTCCTTTTCATGTGGGAATCACCATATGATCTGGAAATTCTTGAAGAAATTAGCTACATGTTTCAAGATATGGGAGAGGATAAAAGAGCAGAAGACAGTCAGCTCTTGCTTTTCCACCATATGAAATTAGTTGCACAATGGCAGTGTTTGCATGGGAAGATATACCATAGGTTAAACTACTTCTGTACTCCCATCTATTTCATGTTAGAACTAAGCACAGTTCTAACATGATGCAAAACCATGAGCAAAACCACTTTCATGTAATTTCAAAATTGCCATTTGAAAAAATGTCTACATTTTTTACAGTGCAAGCTTGGGAAAGAAATGAAACATTCACAACACAAGGTTGTCTCCTAAAGATTTGTATAAGAATTAGAGTTTCTTAGAAATGTATATTTGTTTCAAAACAAGAAGGAAGTAAGCAATGTAGAAATTAGATTAAGTACAGTAAAAGCACTTGCAGGACAGGAAGAATGGATTGCGTTCTCTCCAAATTAGGCCAGTTTTTGTATCCATATGGTAATTGTTATATATATTCTCACTATTTTGCTTACTTTTGTATAATAAAAGTTTTTTTACTTCAGCTGTTTCTTCAGCACACTTACATCTCTTATTAGACCATTCATGTGCTAATGCAGCCAAAAAGTCTATTTTACGATACTGCAGAACATCTAGTTTATTTAGGTCTTTGTTACAATTATAGCATCTTCCCTATGGTCAGTGACAACTGAACCCTTGACTTCCAATAGCAAGGGCAATAGGATCAGAGATTCTGACTCTAGACCAGCACTCAGCATTTCAGTATATGGATCTGGTAGTTTATGATGTGTAAAGTGCGTAGCTATTTTTCAAAGTCTTTGCAGTCTCCACTAGCTCAAGTTCTTCTAAATTCACAAAAGGTTGATTCACTACAGAAAATTTAAACACTTTATATATATCTTTCTTAAGAGGTCTTTCTTGCTTTAGAAGAAACCTTTATTTAGGATAATTCATTTTCAGAGTTTTGTTTCGCAGGCTTCGGAAGGCAAGTAAAGTAGTTAGAAAAAGATCTGATTAATTTTCACAGATGTCACCACAGAAAGGGAAAGAAAGCAAGGCTTTCTGTTTGATAAAGTTCAGGAATCACTCGTATGATGAATTTAACACAGATCTTCTTTCATTGTCACTTTGGGTGTTCTATTTGTCATGTGTAATATATTTCTACAACAGACCTACCCATGTTAATGCGAGAGACTTTACAGTCATCCTACACTTGATGCTCCCCAACATATCCATATCTCATACATCTCTTAACTCAGCATTCTGGCCTCATTCCTCAGCGACAGGACAAGAGGAAACAGCCTCAAGTTTCCCCAGGGAGGTTTAGATCGGATAGCAGGAAAAATTTTTTCACTGAAAGGGTTGCCAAGCACTGGAACAGGCTGCCGAGGGAAGTGGCTGAGTCACCATCTGTAGTGGTATTTAAAAGATCTGTAGATGTGATAACTAGGACGTGGTTTAGTGATGGACTTGGAAGTGTTAGACTAACGGTGTGACTCAATGATCTTACGGGTCTTTTCTATGATTCAGAATGCCCGAATAGCTTCAATACTCAAGAAACTTAGGCAGTGTTCGGTTGATTAAATTTAGGGTTGTACATTACCTATCAGTTTGATCCAGCTTTTAAACATTTCAAAGGAAGTGGGAGTTTGTTGGACTGATGTGATAAATAGTGTTACTGAAACTCTTATCTGAAGAGGTCAATTGACTAAATTATAATTGCCAATTTGTAATGATGCTATTGTTCTTTATGCATGTCAGGTGGTTGATAGAATCAGCTAATTTTTTGCAGAAACCAGTTTGTTGCAGGTAACTCTACTTACCTTGATAATCCCAGCAACATAAAAAATACCACTTATCGCAGGCAAAACCTGATCAGTTCACAGATTTTGAATCATGTGATACAAAAGTAAAAATAGAAAATCTTTTTAATTTTAAAACCTTTTTTTCCCCAGAATCTAGAATGAAACTGTTAGATTATGAAACAAGAAGTTTATATTCACAGAGGCAGAGGTGCACAGAGGGACAGTGATCGTCAGGAAACCTTTATAACTGAAGTAGAGAAACTGGAACATTCTGATCTGGCTTCTTCCAGGGCAGTCACAGAAGGACTCCATTTTCTGTGTGGTGAAAGCCATCAAAATCAATCAACTGGATCACCTTACAGACCAAGGAGGGTTACTGGTTATGGGATAAAGCTTGGTATTCTGCAAGACATTTTATAAGATGTTTTTAATATGAAACAGACAGGGAAAGGGGGAGATCAAGGTGTTTGGGAGGTAAAAGAGTGTAAGAAGATAGAGATGTAAGGGTATTTAAGGGACAGGTTGCATGTAAACGGATTGCTTGTCAGTATGCTCTTTTGGCCATGCCCTACAACTGGTCACTTCAGTCTTTTCTGTCTTCTGACCAAAATTCATTTCTATTTCCTGGGTGAAATGCTCTCTATTCTATAATGTTCTGAGACAGTGAGTATAGGACGATAGCAAGTTTTGTAATCATCACTTCGTTTCTTGGGACCTTATTGCAGACATTTGGTAGCAACAGTTTTAATTCTTTGCTACAACTTCTATGAATTTTTTTCTCACAGTTTGAGTTGTCAATCCAGGATTATTTGTAACTACACTAACTGGCATTTCTAGTGCTTTTACACTGAAGGAAATGTTCGTATTAAGTTGTCAGCTAAAACTGTTCATTATAGAGTTAAAATTTGAAAATATGTATGTGTGGGAAGGAATTAAGCAATGGTTATTACACAGGTGATATGTATCTTTTGCACATGTCTACATTATCTTCCTTTGAAGTCAGCTTTACCCATATCAGTCTTCATTGTTTCTATTTTGAACATTCACATGCACATAATTAGCCCACATATGTTTTTTTCCCATTCTTAGCTACTTATATCTTAGCAGCACGAAACTGATCCTTCTGTTTCAGACTTTCTTCATTTGTTTTCAGCCATGAATACAGCTATACTGCCTTTCAGGGTCCCTTTAATGCATAGACACACGTGCTTCCTTAAAGCACTGCTGAATTCACCAATGGGTCTGAAAAGCTCCTTTCCTTATAAATAGTATATATTCTATATATAACTATATAAATAAAATAAAATACACTATATAAAATTATGAATACCTCCTATAGCTGGTAGGGTTTTGTGTTTATCACTTCACTTTTCTAAAACTTTACTGAAACTGATTAAATCATTTCTAAGACTGGTCCAATCTTTGCTTCTATGATGTTGGATTGCTCCAATCCAGGTGCATAATAATAATGAGATGCTATATTACATTTATGTAAAATTTAAATTATAGTGTTATTATGATGACATCTCTCTATATAACTTGACAAAATATGGACCCTTCTGTTCTATAGATGGAAATACTGCCTTATGAAGTCAATGGGAATTCTATCATTCTCTACTGTGAGGCTAGAACTATACAAAAAGTATGATAGTTGTCAGAGAGAGCCTCAGGAGATCTTCTACGGCTTCTGTTGCTGCTTTTGATGATTTGTGGTTTATAAATTACATGAATTATCAGCACTCTATTGTCTTTTTTAACTATGATTTGGGAGCAGAAATGCATACTTCTCAGAAGTCTTGTATATGAGGAGTCTTTTCTAAATGTAATAAATAAATGATTCTCTAAATCAGTTGCCAAAGGAGTGTGATTCCACCAAAGTGATATAATTTATTGTCAAACTTCTCATTATGATATACTATTAAAACATCTCTATAAAGACATTAGCAGAACATCTTTACTCATTTAAAAATATATGCAGTAAGTTGACACCTTTTGGAAAGTACATACAAGTATGTCCAAACAACAGCACTCCAACGAGTGACAGTTTAAGGCACGTGATTATTTTGCAACCTTTGTTACATAAATCTCTGAATAGACCATATATTTGTAAAACATAACTTCATATATTTCAATAACTAGGTTCACAGCTCAGAGAGACAGAATTCATCTCAATACAGGCAACACTTCTGGGTTTTTCTTTAACATTGCTAGGTCATAGTGCAGCATAATAAACATCATTAAAAAGAACCCTGTTCATGGAGTAAAATATATAAAAGAAACATCAAATATTTCTTCATTTCATCGTTTTGCAACAAGGTAGGCCATAGTTACTTGTTCAATAAATATCAGCTGTGGAATGTTCCGCTTGCCTTTCTTTGACAGTGAATGTCACAAAAAAAATTTAGAGATAGTTTTAGGGAAGCAAGAAATTAACTGGGCTCCCCAGAGGTGAACTGATATTCCAATCTAATAAACAAGGGTAAAAAACCAAAAAAGCCAGATCCTCAGCAGCTCTGAATCTATGTTGCTGTAATAGAAATTAGTGGTGCTTTATTCATTAAAGTGTGCTGAAGAAGTAACCAAACAATTGAACCCACAGGTACATATACCACAGGAAATGTAAAAGTACAATCAAAGAGTATGGGAAAAACAATTGAAATAGATGATGAACACTTATAACCTGTTTTTTGTATATACTGTGGTAGACATTGGGAACAATTGCCCTGAAAAAACTCCAAGAACTATAATCCATTATATTCTAGCTGTGAGTATGTTCTCAATGTGGAAACTGGGGACATGAAAGTTTTTTCATCACATTTCAAATTGAGGAACTATGCCAAACAAAACCTTGCTGTAGAAACAATTCTACTAGAAACCCTCTTTGGGAGGCATAAAAGCCTCAGAAATTATGCAAGATATTCCAGTGGAAGGTCTCTTTGCTGTCAGAATGGCCCATTTTATTCTTCATCTGTTTAACTATAGTGATGCAACACAGAGAAAATGCCTAAGGAAATGAAGAGGTAAGCCCTTTATATACGTCTTTCCTTTTCTGTTGTTTAAAATGGCATGATGTTCCTCTTTGTTTTATAAAACTCCTACAACCCACAGCCCTCTCAAAAGCATACAGGATCCTTCTGGCTTTTCACAGGCTGCTGTGTTTGTAAATATAGTGGCGTTTATTGATCCTTTCTTGTTTAGCATGAAAGATTACAAAAACAATAAAAATGTGTATCCTGTGATTTTCAAAATTACATACTCTTGTCTGTGCAACATTTATCTGGTGAAAACTGCCACCTGCTGATGACAATTTAAAAACGTTTCCTTGAGGTAGCCTGTACACAAATAGATTGGGAATCCTCTAACAAGCATGCAAGAGGCAGTCCACAGTGTGGTTCTTTTCCTGACTGCGGCACAGCAACGACCTCTGTACAGAAGCAATAAGAAATGAAAGTTTTATTTCAAAACCAACACCCGATGAGCATCTTGCCAATTTTGGTGTTAGTACTTCAGCATTATGCTGTAAGACTGAAGGGTAGATTTTGGCACATTGCACTTTATCTGTCCTAATATTTGGGGTTGGTAATGGTCCTGTTATATATGCCAATTACTAAAATTGTTCCAATTGTAATATCTGGAACAGTATTAATATGCTCTACTTCACCAAAATAATATGTTCATACGTACTCAGTTCACAAAAATTGTATTTACGTTATTGAATTATAACAAGACTAGCTGTGGGTGATGAAGCTTTCCAATTGATTTGCACCATTGCCCAAGATGACTGCCAAACAGGCAGCTGCTTGTGAGCTGATATCAAAAGAACCACTTCTCTGTATCTAATCTCTAAACGTGTGTTTTGTGTCTGTCTAGGTTTATATATGACATTTGCCATCACATCTCTGCAATGTGCACCAGTCAAACCTCTTTTAGCAAAGAGGACAAAAATAGAAAGAAGATGTGAACATGAGTTTTCACATATTTCTCCACTCCTTTTGGGTGTCTGGGTAAACCTCTGTTTTGACATCTGACACAGAATCATCTAGAAGCCATTCAAAATCTGGGCAGGCAGAGTGAAACAATCACTAATTCCTATAGATAAAGTAAAATTTACTAGAAAAGCCTCTGTCCAGGATCCACTCTCAAACAAATCAGATATCACCCTGAAGGTGACTTAGTTCATTTACAAATGGCTTACACGGATATAAAACAGAAATAAGGAACACATTAGGATCACAGAACTGGCCAAACACTCACCTTCTATTGCTGTTATAGAACCTTTGCAACTTATACCACTGAAGATTTCAAGCCAAAATTTCAGGACTGGAATCTTCCAAGGCAAAATACACATAAGTCAGAGGACTATACGCTGGCATGTAGCATTACGCATCTATGAGAGGTCTCAGAGTTTTCACTTTCATCTAGTCTTCATCTGAGTTGACTTTCACTGATGTCTCCAGCTATCTTCAAGGTGATGTAGATCTAATTCATATGCAATAAGGGTCTAGTGCAATCTTAAGCAATTTAACAGAAAACCACACACAAAAAAATAAAGGACGTTCCTAGCACAAACAGGTAGGTATATATATGCACATGCTTCTGTACAATACTTTGAACCGTCAACATCCTGAGTCATTGTGGCACTTAAACCATGTGGCAAAACTCAGAATACCATCTGAGAAACCATTATCCTGATCAGCTATTGAAAGTGATACATAAATTAACAGAATAATCTAAAAGTATTTGGAAGGTGTCTTCCAAAGCAGCAGTAAAAATGACAAATATTTACAGTCCTATCTGAGTGAGGCTATTTAAAATAGAGCAGTTTAATTAAGAATACGAAATGAATCACTTGTGACAACACAAATTAAAATGCTGAGTTAATTCTGGGTGTTCTTTCATTCCAGTGCTACTGAGTTGAGGGAATAAAGGTGAAGGAAGGAACTGGCCCTCCTGGAGTACTTGATTAAATTTCAAGATGCCAGGACTTTCCTTTCCCTGGAAAGTTTTCCACGAGAGTCAATATCCCACTATTACTCAGTGACACAAATATTCAAGAGCAGGAAAATGTTTTTCTTTAGCTTGCACTTATAAAAGCCACCAATCAATTTCAATCAGAGTAGACTTAGCACGGAAGAGGTTAACCACTTGCTTCTCCTACTTTAATTTTATATAGCATAAATATTTAATTCCATTACTGAAGAAGCAAATACAGTCTAGTTCTTTAAATGTATTTATGGCATAATGGCATAATAAACCATTTCCATGTAAAAAAACCATCAACGATTTACCATTTGAAAAGATTCTTGGTTTAGCCCTCCAAAAACAATAGATTATTTGTAACAGTCTACATGAAAAAATAACAAGGAGTCATATTTCCCCCTCACTATGCACCCTTACATTATGAATAAGAACTCAAAAATGTAAGTACAGCAGAAAAGCTCCAGTGTTTCTGACATCACAGGACCCCACTCCCTTTCCATCTGTTCTAGAGCAGATCCTATGAACCAATAGGTTGCTCTCTATTGTTACAGAAGCCCTTTGTTCAAGTGATTCTCTCTCATCTTCTTCTTTCAAGTAAGTCCTGGCTCACAACTGTGTTTCCTCTTGTTCCAAAGAATGTGGAGGGACATGGCAAGATGCTGGAAGAGATGCTAGCTTCTGAAGCTTAGGGTGTTGCAGAGGTTTTGGCCTGTGAAAAGAGCGTCGGCTTTGTACACGTCTGGCTGCAGCAGACCTGTAATTTCCTTGTACATCAAGCAACATTTTCTTCTCTTGGGGCTCCTTCAGGTAAGAGTCTTCCAGCCCTTCAAAGATAAGTAGAGAATTCTCTTCTTGTGAATTCTCTGACTTGTAGCTAACTTCAGAACAATAACCTGAGTTTACTGTCTCTTTGTTATTCGTATCTGTACCTGATTCCCAGAAGAGATCAGGTACATTTGGGTCACATGAAGCTATATACTCAGAGACAGAAGAAAGAGATATATTCCCTCTATTTTCCAATGAAGAATAGTTTTGGGTCCAAGGCATTTGAAGACAAGAGGGGAAGAAGTGGAGGGGATTCACTGAAACACTTCCATTTTGGTTTAGTTGATCATCTGAAGAGGAGTATTCTGTCATTTCAACATCATGGTCCATATCACCTAAAGAACACAAATAAATAGAAACATTTGTAGTACATACTTTATCTATTAGTATGCTGGCTATTGGGCTTTGCTTTTGGCTATTTTTATGAAAGTCTTATGAAAGGGGGTGGTTTAAGTTTATTTGTTCGTTTGTTTTTCTGAAGAACTCTACTCTATACCCAGTTCTATCTTGGACAACCTAAAGAGAGTTAATTAAACTTCTTATCCTTGCTGAGTGTCAGGCAAAACTTGGCTCAGTGTTTGTAATGAACGACTAGCTTTTTCAGATAGTTAAGGAGATGGAGCCATCCTCTGGGCACTAAAGTGTATCTTTATCTTGAAATGCTTAGTCCTGATGCTCAGTAAGGAAATATTTCAGAATTTTTTTATATAAATTACATTCTTTCAGTGAAGTAGCAGAGAGTATCTCCAGGGAGTCAATTTCTTATTGATCAGAACCTATGATCAGTTTTTGATATATGTCAGATATGTAAAGAAACAACCTTTTCACTCTTGGCTTTCAGTTTCCATTGTTTTTTAAAAACTTTTAATTGAAATTTCAATATCATTCTCTTTTTAAGAGAATTTTGTTAAGGATATCATTCAGAGGACTGTTTCTGAGAATAATCAAGGTCTAAGCTTATTAGCTTGGGAAATCTAATTTTCCAAAGCACTTGTTAAGAAACGCAGCAGTAAAAAATCCAGTGATTTTGATATGTAAAAGTTACCTGCACAAGAACTTACAAATACCACTTCCTAATAATAAAGTAAATGATAAGTTAGGCAACTGAATGGAGGTAAAGAACAAAGGTTAGCAAGAAAATGTTCAGCAAGTCATATGTCAATATTCTGTGACAATGTTCTTAGTGGGGAAGAAAAAATAAAGAGAATTTCAATGTGGCTAAGTGTCAAGGAGAAATTTTCCTCTTGGAGTGTTGCTCATTGTTCACACTTTTAATCAGGATATTGGATTGTAATTCATAGTTTTTTAATCCAGTATTTATTTTAAAACATCATTTAAAAAATAAGCCAAGATGTATTAGTAAGGAACTGAGTACTAGAACCAAACACAGACCCACAGGCCACTTCAGTAAAGAAAGTGGTCTGTTTCCTCTAATTGCACTTAAACTAGCACATTTTCTGAAAGGACAGAAGCCAGAATAGAAGAAAAATAGGTCTTCCCTTTCTATTTCTTTTCAAAAGGTTATGAAATTCTTCTCAAGTCAAGATTAGCAGCATTCACTCTTATCCTGAAGTCTTTGTCTGAACAAAGTTTCATCAACTAACCACAGAAGGGCATTCCACTTACCACATTTATTTGTTGATGTACAGAGGACACTCATACATAGATTTGTGACCATGTATTCCACAAAAGTGAATTCATGATGACACCGACTTCAGCATTTCATTGCACAATCCCTGCGATGCCCTGTGTTCTATTCAATTACGATATCTGAACTGTGACCTGCCAACCTCATTTGAAGCATTGCCCAACTTGATTATAGAAGTGAAGGCTGCTTTTTATGGTATGGAAAATTTCCACACAGCAAAAACTAAAGGGCAACTAGGATATTCATTTAAATCCAGAGTAAGTTTAATTCTAAGCCTCTAACACATTAGAAGGAAAAAGTTATTCACTGCATCAGAAAGCTAAGCCTCTTTCTAGTTTCAGAATAAGATATGGATTAAGATAAACTCATAATTTAAGGATAAAGCTCTAACTGGAATACTGCTTCTCCACAATACTGTGGTGTAATTATCTCTGTCCACAAAAGGGAACTGATACATTCTAGTAAACATGATTCATTTTAAACTCCTTTCTTATGTAATGATACATCAGTAGTGTCACTGAGTACTTGTATTGTAGCAGTGGTGCCATTTTCCTTCCTGGGCACTGGGTAAATAGTCTGGACAAATATTCAGAACTGACTCAAGGCTTCTTAGCAAAACAGTAAAAATCATACTCCATTTAGGGAATTCAGGTATCAGTTTTATCATCCAGCACTAACAAAGAAACCTGAAGCCTCTTGAAAATGAGTGCACAATATTCTGGCATTTGAAATATTCAAGTCAAAACAAAGAGAAGGATCATTATCTGCTGTAAAAATAGCAAGGCATTGGACCCCAAATAGCTGAACAGCTCTTCTGCAGAAGGAAAATCGAAAGATGTTTTGTTAATTAAGTTGGAGGAAAATAGAAGATGTTTAGTTGTACAAAGAAATCAGGAAGGAAATAGATATTCTAGAAGAAGAAAAATCAGAAAAGTAAGTTTACTTCTCAGTAGTCAGGATTGATAAGAAGGCTGGTTAAAAATAAAGGTGGTAATATTGTTTAAAATATTACATATGTGTTGATTCTGGGAGAAAAGTTCTGGGTCGGTCCTCTGGGCCATCTGCTAGAAGGAAGGAATCTACTGATTTATTGCTGAGCCGGAATGGAGCAAGTCGTCTGAAGTTTTCTGGAGAATATGGGATCTGCACTCGGGCCCTTTGTGATGGTACCACAGTATCTTCACTAGATAACCATGGTGAGAATTTCATGTAGATGCTTTGATCGTCATCAGCTGAAAATACCGGGTTATCAATTCCTAAAACCAAAAAATTCACAAGGGACAAGTAAAATTAATCAAAATAATATCTTGATAATACAGCAAGATGCTTTGTAAAGGAGATGGTTGTTGGTGGAAAAAAGTACGCTGATGCACACTGGTATAGGTGTGACTAAGCCAATACACAGATCGTTATACACACATACACCTTGGTTATTGCTAGATATATATGGATTTCTATTAAAGGGAAAAAATGGATATTATATCCCATATGCAGTTATGTTTGGGATATCTGGAGACAAAAAAAAAATCAATAAAAGAAGAAATCAGCCCAAACATTTTAATTAAAAAAAAGCACAACATAAAATAACTGCAGAAAATTCTTATCAAATCCACAAAAACGAAAAAAAAGATGGGACAACATGCAAAAAAACCCCCAAAAAACCCAAAACAATTTCACCACTCTATAAAGGAATGAGATTTGTGTGAGGTAGCTAAAACAGGCCATGAAACAGTCAAAAGTAAGCTACAGGAGACTGTTAATAGAGTTATCAAGTTTGTAATGCTTTTACAGAAACATTTTAGGCCTGCATCTTGCCACCCACTTATTTCTGGGTGTTTTTATACATACTCAAACATAGAATTTGCCACAAAACAGTGAGAAGACTGTATCAGTATGTTTGCCAAAAGAGTACAGACACAAGCGTTTTTCTTCACTATATGCACCACGTTACATATGAAGCAAACAATGTCATGCTGAAAAATTCAAACACAAAAGTGTTTAAAACTTTATAAATCATATTATATGATTTCTGTTATATATAGTGATATGCTTCCAAGCTGATATTTTGGAGCCTTTCAGAGCTGGAAATCAAGTGCAATGAGTGCTCCAGAAATGTTGCAAATCTGCTCTTTTCAGTGACTTCTGTGAACCTGTAAAGAATCTGAGGGAGTTGTGAATTTAAGAGAAATCTTGTCTGAAATAAGAAAAACAAAATTTCTCACAATGAAGTGCTTCCAATGCAAGTAGAAGGCAGTTCCAAAGGACTAATATTGACTGCTCTTTTGAGGTAAGACAATTTTAAAATTTCTGTTGCTAGAAATAATTAATGGTTTTAAAACTGGTTTAGGTAGTCATGTTCACAACTTCTATTAGTAGCAAATTTGATGTTCTCCATACATCCAGATATCCAAAACTTGTTATGTTAACACTAATATTAAGCAAGTACATTTTCAAATAGAACACATAAAATCAAAGCAAACAACAACAACAAAAAAACCCCAGGCTAAATCATCAGCATTTCTAATAATTTTTTAAAAAATTTGAGAAAAAAAACCTTTGTAGGTAATAAATAGTTTTACCGGCAGGATTATCTGTGAAATTTTGTTGCGTCACATTAGCCAGGAAATCAACTCCTTTGCCCAGATGCAAAGTCTCATAATCATTATTTTCTTCTGATTCAGAAAACTCCAAATCTGTTGGGGAGAGGGGGCAGGGGGAGGGAAAGAAAGTCCAATTTGATTAGAGATTTTCATCAATTCTGATAGAAAATGCTATTTCATGCTGGTTTGATGCTGGCATAGTTATCAGATACATCTTTAACAAGGATCTAGATAAGGGTAAAATTTAATCAACAGTTGTGGCACTGAAATGTGAATGTATATACAGGTTTCAGCTTAGATACCAATTATATCAAGAAACTCAGTGCAGGTTTCTGGCTTGCATTAACATATGGTGCTGTGATAAAAAGAGATTTCACACTCTAGCCAAACTTTTGCCTAACAGAATTGCCTTCCTGGAACTTAAACACACCAACATATGACATGGCACCACTGCTCCTGCTGTGTTCTGTGACTTAAATGCTCACGAGTTGACAAAAGCCCCATCACAATGAGCAGTGACTGCATTTTCATCACTTTATAAAGGTCATTTGTATCCTGACTAATTTTAGACCTAATGAGGTCATTGCTGCTTTTACTGCATTAGAATAAGTTTTGCAATAGCTGCTAGGCCACTTGTTAAGACTGTCTTACAATTAAGCTTTTTTTGTTTTAAGTAGATGATAACATCTTACAGAGTTTTTTAATAAGACAACATTGAATGACTTACTAATGAATATTTGGGAAGCTTTTCCCATGCAAAAAAGTTTGAGAAAATTACACTTAGGAAGCCAACCTGTACTGCCCCTGTCAGTAAAAGAAAAATAACACTCGGTAAATGGTTCAAAGAAGATGCATAAAGAAAAATATTTTTGCTTGGAGCTATCAAGAAAAGATGAATCCCTCTCTATTTCACTTGATTTCTCTTTGACATGAAGGGGTTGCAGGCATAAACAGAGAAAAGAACACAAATAAAAGTTAGTTCAGTGGCTTTTAACCACATTTTGAAGTGTTTTAAAGTGACATATATTATTTTATAATTATATAACAAACATATAAGCATCCATCACATATTGCTGTGCCTGACATCAATGGCTAAAATATTTAAGAATTTGGGGCTTTATATGAAAAACCAACTTTTGCAAGGAGTACTCCCTAGACTGGTTAGCTTCTGATTACAATTTCAAGGTTGATCTGTGTTTTAGATTTGATGATGAAGGGTGACTCAGCACTGAAACTGGTCTCTGACTCTGTTATTCTTCCAAAGCTATGCTCTCCTTGAATACTAACGTGCTTTCTTAGCCTCAAATCTGATTCAGACCCTTCTAAAACAATGGACTTTAACCCAGATTAGAATGTCATTTCAACTGCTCAATTTTATATGGCTGATATGCTGGGCAGACATATCCTGCTGTGATGAAAAAGAAAAATGTTAGAAGCTCTGTGCACCTTAACCAAAAGGAAGCTGAAAGTTCATTTCACTGCAGTATTGTAGCCACTACATTGTTTTGTTTTCAAAATTTAAATGTGGTATTATAAAAATGTGAGTAAAAAGGCCAATTAAAATTATGTTTGTCATCCAGCTTCCTAGAAAAATCACTTCTAAACCATAGAGACATTACATTTAAGCATGGAGAAGATCACTAGTCTGAGTTCTAAATTATTACTAGAAGCCCCTTTTTAATAGCAGTTTCACTGTTAAATATCACAAAAACTTTTAGTGATGCTTTACTAGTAATGTAGCTGGTAAAATGCAGTTAATGAAAATCATCTAAGAATCTTTTTACCTTTTTCCTTCAAAGTAAAATCTTGTACTGGATTTTCTGAAGGAATGGTTCCATTTGGTATGACACTGCTGTTCCTCTGAAAAGAAAGCAAACAAAGCGACCAAAAATGCCAATGTCTTCAAATAGCAATGGCAGTGCCATCCTTTGAAATGACGAGTCCAGCAGCATAACCCTGAAATATGTTGTAATCTGTGCTTGAGACTCAATATGAATGCCATTAGTTTCCCACCTACGCTGATAGTATGTACAGAATCTTTGTCTCTTTGTATGCTCTGTGTTCCCTCTTAGTTTCATATCAATTTGGTTGAATGCTCTATGCTGTAGTGCTTCTCTGCTACCTCTGTCCTGCAAAATCTCCCCACAGTGTTGTAGCATGGTTCAGGGTCTGTTGTTTTCCAAGTGATCAGAAACCTCTCACCCAGAAGAGTCTCAAAACATAGAGAAAAGGAGAATGTGAGAAGATGCCCCCTGAGTTACCTCATAGTTTAATCTCTTCTTGCTTAGGTCCTTTAAGTTCATGAAGTTCTACAGGACAGAGATAAATGCAGGACATAGGACCCTTCAGAGTCCTCCCTGCCCTCCCCAGCCCTTAGTTTGTATAATAGGTGGCTTTAACTGGGTCCTTGTGAAAGTATTTTACCCTTTTTTGGCCCCGGTCTCGCTTGTGGATTTTATTGAGCTTCTTGGGATGGTTTATTCCTAGTTTGGTACTCTTGAAAGATTCTAAGCGCTTCCTCATTGTCCTATGGAAAATCTCCTTGTCTTGTTTATCATCTTCACTGTGCATGATCTCATGTCGACTGTACAGGTGTTTGTGCTGTGGCCAGGAAGGGAAGACAATATTCATTTATTTAGAAATACAGCTCGAAGCCCTGAATCAATGCATTCAATCAGTGTCATGGAAATGTAAACAACTCCATAGGAAAGAATGAACCAAAAACTAGTCTGAAGGCATTAATGAAACTTCTGTTTTTCTTTCTTCTCTATGAAACAGGTGTAAGTCCAAGAATCTTAAGTACGTAAGAGTGGACTGTCATTCAAAGTCAGCCTCTCCCTATAAGTATCTGAATTACTTCAGTCAATACACCCCATTTAATCCTGATTAGAATCTATGTTGGACACAGTTCTGCGCTGCACTGGCCTCAGTGATTTCAAAGACACTAATTGTGTTAAAAAGGCATGTTCTCAAGTGAGAAAGCACGCAGACAAAGAGCCCATCTTCCTCAAGGGTGCAGATTTTGCAGCGAGTTGTCTCCTTTTGAGTTTCTCTCCCAAGTTTTGGTTCATAATACCTCCTAGTTTTAGACTGGAAAACAGTTCAATGCTAGCCTTTTGCTCTCACCTCCTGCCTGGGTTTATACAGGTACTGTTGTAGGGTGTGATGAGCAAGTGTATCTTCTGTGTCCCGGATACTTTTCCTCCTCTGCTCTAAAGCTTGCATGTCGAGGCAAACTGGTCCAGCTTTTTCTCTCCTGAAAAAGAGAACAAACAGCAGTTTTTAAAATCATTAATTGTTGAAGAGGAGTAATAAGCAGGAAGATGAGGAACAAGAGGGAGAAAAGAAGATGAAGTTTTTTAAAAAGAAAAGGAAGGGTAAGAACTGGCTAAATGGAAATGAGCGAGCAAATGCCTAATGGGAAATGTGAAAAGATTATGTTTTTTTCTGTCAGGTGGATGTATCATTAATTCCACATGGTGATTTTTTTCCTCATTTCTCTCTTGACTTATTCTGGAGCAGATACAGAAATAACATCTAGCCATGTATAGAGCAGTTGGTGAACCAAAGGCAAATGAAACAACTCTAAAATGGATGTCTGCTTCATCTTACCAGCTTTTACTGAAAAAAACTGTTTGTGTGTAAAATGCAACAACATAAATCCGTGTATACTGATTTTATGTGAGAGAAAATATTAATTAAAGTTTTAAAAAAGTAGCACATGAAGCCCCTGTAAATTGCATTTTTCGGGTTTTTAAACATTGTTTCAATTTCCTCTCATATACGTCCCCATCAGTCCACATTACTTACAGTAAATAAGAGACAGAGCTTTCCACAGTACTTGGAAGTGGGCTGCTGAAATCCACATTCACCATGTTGTCTGTGCTTGGAGAACGTATAAATGCCAACGAACCTCTACGTTCTCCCTGGTCACAGAAAGAAACAAGACATATTACAGCTGTAAACACCTAGGACAAAATGTGTATCAGAAAATACCGATAATTTGTGAGACTGCTGCACTCAAACGGCACAAGAGGCATGGGAAAAGCTGTATTTCTGTAACAATTACAAACCATTTTTTGGTTTTATGGTTTCTTTATGTTGAGTGACGTTAGGCCCATGAACAAAGCCAAGAGTAAAACTATTCCACTCTTTTAAATTGATTTTGAGGAGGTGAGTGACTTTTTAGGCCTCAACAGATTTGCAATTTTACTTTGTACCATGTCTCAAGCCAAGTGCATAGGAATATACATATAGATTTCTATGGATTGACGCATCACTGCACTAACAGTAACATTTTCAAAAATAAAAGACTAAGTTTTCTGTTCTGTACCAGACTGGAAGCAGCAAACGTTAAGTGGTGATAGAAGTCTACAAGGCTATTTGAAAGAGGTTATGTCATGTCAGAATGAGATACTGAAGGGATGAGATTTTCTTTCAGTTCTAAAACTAGTGTACAGAAGTGAACTGCTTGAAAAACTCAGATTTATGTTGTCACAGATCTCCCTGCAGCTTATGTAATCTCTTGTTTAGGTGAAAGGTATTTTTGGGGTGACATTGTGGTTACATAGGCTGAACCCATCTACGGTTTTGAAGTATCATCATCATGGCTAGGCTTCGCGAACAAAGATTTGGGAAGGCTCTATCCACATTTGTTACAGGCACGGCAGAGAGAAATCGCATAGCAGGTCTCTACATTTTAAAAAGCAATAAAGAATACATCAAGAAAAGCCATCTCTCTTGCAGAACATTAAAAGTTTTTTTGTACATTTCTCCAATTTTAACTGAACTGTGTTCCCTTTACATTTTGATATTCATAGAGCAAATCAAATAAATGCTTTCTTTTGCTGTGGTAGCCCATGTACATGTTACAGTATGTGTTGGATCAGACTAATGACATTAAGCAGTACACTCTGGCTTCTGCAGGCAGAAAACTTGAGATTAATAAAATTACTTTCTGGGACAGCATCATTCCATCCATTTTCTTAAGTGAATCTGACTTTCTTTCCAAATCAAGTTTAATGTTTTATATATACATCATACCGTATCATCAGTGGAGGAATTTTAGCCAGAACAAGTTATGAACTATAAGTATTTTAAATCACTTCTGTTCACCTGCTCTGGATTATTTTTATTTTGCTTGGCTTAGGTTCTCCTCTCTCAACTGTAAGGAATTTATTTAGGTTGACACTGAACTCTCTCAAGCTCCTGTTTGTTATATAGATGCAGCATAACAGCAGAGCTGAACAAAGGAAAAAATATAAAATTGTTTTTAAACTCCTCAGTTTCTTGCAAGTGAGAAGTAAGCAGCTGGGGAAAGCAGATCTTTACTTGTCCTGGAAGAAAAGGATTCAATTTCAATATCAGCTTGTAATTAATAGATATTTAGTGCAAAGACATATTTGAGAAGTCAAGAAAAAGTCATTAAAGCAGTGTATCACTGAAGCAAATATTCAAGTGACAAAAGAGAAATTACTTTAGGATTCACAACTAGTAACTAATTTCCACTGGAAGAAATTATGTTGCAAAACTTCTGTAGAGCTTGCAGAACTTTTAATTACTTTGTCTATTATTATCACATCAGTAAACATTCACCAACAGAATTTATCTGCAAGACACAATATACAAAAATAACATTTGGACTAAGGTAGCAAAAGTCAGTTTTCTTGTGTTTCCTTTCCTAAAAAATTGGCAATCTGACTATACTATGTGGAATTGAAGACATTATTGGTCAAAAATTCTGGTGCTAAATCTGCATGGTTTAGTGATACAGCCCTTTGCATCTGTTAAAGAGAGGAAATACTGTAATAAATTCAACACTGAATCTGAACATGAGTTTCATGCTCATCTATATCAAAGTATTATCTAACTTTCTGCCTCTGAGGTGTGACTCAGAAAGCATCACAAGAAAGTAAATTAGTTTTTGAGCTCAGATGGTCTGAAAACCAAATGGGTAACTTACAAAATCTCAAAAGGAAGTATTTGCTTGTCTTTTGAACCACTCCCCATTTTTCCCACTAACATAATTTATGAATTTCATCTTGTTTTCTGAATTCAGTCTTTGAAATTACATGTTCCACTGGGAGAAGTCCGCCTGGCTGTAGCTCATTCAAAAAAAAAAAAGATCTTAGTAGCAGTAGTATTATCAGTTGTAGTAATAATTTATTTTATTTAAATTAAGGAAATTAACTGATATATCACCTAGCTGTGAAAAAGAGTTCAGATGGAGATTATAGGGATAGATAGATTGTAATTTCAAAGATCACCTTTAAAAATATTTCATTTAAAACTGTCTTTTACACTATGAGAACACTGCACATTTGTGGTTATTTGAACTAAGATGACTAGTTTCATACTGAAGAAGATTGGGAATTCTTACACAATCTGGTAACATTGCTCCAGTCTGAGATGGGTACTTCAGCAGAAGGTCAGAAACTTTCTTCTATTCTGTAGTTTTAAAAACTTCTCCTATTGCAAATCTTAAGTTTCCCTAACTTCATAATTCTGTGATTGCATTTGATATTTGTTGTATCACTTTAATCCTAATTTTTGAATTGTGGGGGTTATGATTTCATTGAATTAAAGTTGCCATTCCCACTTTTTATTTTTTTTTGTGTTATGATGATCTGGCAGATTGAGATTAGCAGTCCACTCTTTTGGCCATATACCACACCACTTGAAGGTAAGCTTCTTCAAATTAGATTTGTCACTGCATAGAACCACTCTTCTGCAGGAGCCAGACTCTGTTGATACATTCAGAAAGACAATATTCCTCCAGTATTTTTTCATGTAGTAAATATAGAAACAAAGATATTCAGTAAAATCCAACAGAAGAGTACACTGACGTAAGTACAATATACTAATTCTTGGTGATCAGGCATAATACTGAGAACTACAGCTCCTCAAAAAGGTAACACCGAGATTCAAAACATATTTAAAAAAAAAAAAAAGCAGAGATGGAAATATTTTTCCTTTAGACATCTCCTGCAATATATCAACTTTAGGTTATATTATAAATTTTAAAAAATCAAATCCCAAGTGATGCTATAATATGTCAACAAGTATTCATAAGTACCTCAGCCACATAGCTAATTGCATCCTTCAAGTTGAGTTCATGGAAAACATTAAGGATTTGGTCTCTTGATTTTTGAGCAGACCTTCTCATCAGTATTTTTCTGAGGAATTTCCTATCAAAATTGGACCACCTGATAATTTAAACAAACCGTGTTAATGGCAACAAGCAATTTTAGTTTCACAGCATTTTTAATTTAGTATAAATGATATTTTTTGAGCTAAACACTCTTTAAAAAATGATGAACATATGATCGTGTTTTGAAGCTTTTCAATTAGCATGTAAAGTTAATGAAAAGCCTCCTACAGACTTGTACAGCTATCACAAAGCATTTAATCCGTTCACTTACCAACACTACTACAACAAGAGTGCTATGACTATAGTATCCCATTTCAAATTCAGTAAGACATTTTATACTTTAGGAGATCATGCTCCCTTATTTTTCTGCTTCTGATTATACTTAATTTTCTTCCCTCCTTTGGAAAATAATCTGCTTTTCCCCAGCTGTATTGTAGGACAGCCAGACTAGAAAATCAAATCACAACAGTGCTCCTCTAAAAGCTCTACCAGAGGGCCTTATTCATACCATTGATGTACTCTGCTCTGGGGAATAGTAGTGATGTGTGTTTTCTGTGATTTACATTTCCAAGATTGTCACCATCAGTGAGGGTGGCAGGAGCTGCCATTACTCTGAGGAAGCACTTTCATGCATATAGAGTCCAAAAGGCAGCCTTAAGATGGTCTTATTCAAAATACATTAATCACCAAACCATACACTCAACCATGAATCTACATTAAGCTACTCCTTGTTATTCAAGGAGATTCCTTTCTGACATGTAAGAAGTCAAACTCTAATCTGCCACTTAAAAGATACAGCTCCATCCTCAAGGCAGTATTTCAAAATTGGGGATGTATTCTCCCATATTATATATAGCCCACTGAAATTCATTGCCCAAAAGTAAACTACAAATTTAGACCAAAAGAAAGAAGATATTCTGTCTGGAATGCCTCAGGAAAATTCTTCACTGCATAAATGAATGAAGAGAAAAAGGAAAGGAAAGAGACTGTCCCTATAACTGGATGCACACAGGTGAGTAATTCTGCTTAAGTTCCACTACAGTCTAGCTCCAGCCTAGTAGTTGTATATTGCATAAGCATAATGCTAAGCCTAAGCTAATAGACTTGGCTTCTCAGGAAGGGTTAGGGGAGTGCTCTGCAGAAAGCTAGCACAGCCACATGGCTTTTGGATTGGAACTGGCATGTTGAGTCAGAAAGAGGTTAGCAGGTCAAAACTGTGACTACCTGCACCTATGAAATGACCTAACTCCATGAAGAGAACAGCCTAACCTGAAATAACATTCTTAAAGATGTCCAGATTTAATGTCCTTTTTTCCACACTTATTCATCTAGATGTGGAAGTGTGCCCATCATAATGGTAACTCTTCGCATGTGCTTTAAAGAAAATGGTGTATCTGTCAGCTGAGTAATTTTGCTTCTCTCAAGACGAATCAGCTATAAACAGAGGGGAACAGTTCATTATTGGTTTCAAACTAATAGGCTGAAACTATCAGAGCCATTTTAAAGCACCCTCTGCCATTACTTTCAGAGATGTTGTACACATCCTTTGTAGAAATAGGATAAGCAGCTAGCCCAGCTGTAGCTGAGGTTTTTTAATGCCCCCACACATAAATATTTTTCATGAAATGTAGTATTACAGAAAAGTACCAACATTAACATTTTAGCTTAAAACTTGTACAAATAGCCAGTTCTCTAACCTCGAGAGAATCTGACTCCTGAATGTGAACTGAGGCACCTGCAAAGGCATAATCTGAACTGTAGAACAGATTCCAGTTGTAAGGGGACAAAAATACACTGTTTTCACATTTGCTATATTTCCAGTATTTTCAGTATATAACCTCTTAAACTACATTCTACATCCTTGCTTTCCCTAAACTCACAGGCTTAAAAAGTGATAATGTACAGATAAGATTTCCTAGCAGTATTTCAACATTCCAAGTTAGTTACTACTTACTTGTCTCTCAGATAATGATGGCCTATTTGTCCAGAAATGTCTTCTATAGCAGAAAGAATGTGATCAAAGGCCTAGGAAAGTGAAAGTGGGGTTAAGAAATAAAAAAGCATAAATAGAAAATAGCTCAAATTTTTTTTAAGTTAGACCAGGTGACTATGCAGAATAATTTTATTGCTGTTAAGCAAATTTATTTCCCATTTACAGAAATACTAACTACTATAAGCTTTTCTTCAAAGGTCCTGAGCTTTCTAACCAGTTTTTTATAAATTCACTAACTATTCTTGAATTACAATGTTCTCAGCAAGAAGGTACTCAGACCCCCATTTTAACATTCAGTTTTAAAACTTTTTATTGACTCATTTTGCCATCTCCATTTCTGACCTATGAAGTACATCAGCCACTATTAGTGTCAATGATTAAATCAGTTGAACAATTTCCCTAGTGTGCCTTTTTAGATGTTTCAGGAATCCATACTCCCCTCAGAGTAGAAGTAGGCATCATTCTTTTAATATCTAGAGCAAAATTTTGTCCTGATTATGTTAGATGGCTGATATAAATCCAAGGTTTATAATTGTTGATTCAAACCAAGGCAGCTGCAGGTACAATTTGGTCTTTTTCTGCATGTGGTTGTGAACATTTTACTCTGAACATTGGAGTGATTACTGCAGAATATACAGATGCTAGATTTGCAAGAACATGGGTGATATATTTGGCACAGATGAAGCTGTACCTTGAGTACTGTGGTCAGTTTGGGGCCCCTCACCTCAAAAAGGACATTGAGGTGCTGGAGTTGGTGAAAGGTCTAGAAAACATGTGTTATGAAGAACGGCTCAGGGAACAGGAGTTGTTTAGTCTGGAGGAGGCTTAGGGGGTGACCTTATTGCTCTCTCCAGCTACCTGAAAGGAGGTTAAAATGGTCTTAAATTAAGCCAGGGGATGTTCAGACTATATATCAAAAAACATTTTTCACTGAAAGAGTGGGTAGACATTGGAATAAGCCACCCAGGGAGGTAGTGGAGTCACCGTCTCTGGAAGTTTCAAGAGGCATCTGGATGTGGCACTTGGAAATATGGTTTAGGGGTAATTATGGTGGTGCTGGGTTGATGATTGAACTAGATGTTCTTGAAGGTCTCTTCCAATCTTGATGATTCTGTCTATAGTCTTCCATCCTATAACCTATATTTGTATTGAAAATATATGGGGTTTTTTACTGAATAAGAATTTTATAATGTTGTGTGAAAGTGAACTGGAAGAGATTGTGTTTCAAAATCTTTTAAAAGGGTAAATAAATGCAGGAATACACAGCACTCACACTGCATTAAAACTATTGCCATTGATCGGGAATTTCAGTATATAATTAATCTGTACTGGGCAGTAGACTATCTTTCTATGTAACATGTAAGCTACAAAGCCTGCTTTTCATACCTTTTCCAGACATTAACAGCTTGTAAGATGGAAAAATAAACTTACTTGCACATGCTTTGCCCTAGCAGTCGTCAATCAAATATTCATTTTAAATGAAGACAAAGCATATTCAATTTGTGCTGTTTCCCCAGCACTCTCAGCCCTATTGAATTCTCAAGTGAAAGACCAGAACTTTCAGTTGAGTATCCCCTCAGAGGAGACAAATAGTAACCTAAAAATAACTTTTGAACTGTTTGAAGAATTTTGCTCTTGAAATTTCATGGTCCCTTCCCTTCCAAGGAAAGAAATTCTCTCTAATATTTTTGTTTTCTCTTAAGATGCTCTGTAAACACCCAAAAGACACCATAGTTTTATTTTAAAATATCTTACTCTGCCATGAAGTTTCTCATTCAGTTTTGGCTCTCTGTGTTCAGTTTTCTTCACTTTCAGCCACTGTACCAAAGGCTTGATAGTTAGTCCCTAAGGATTGAAACATGATAATAAATACTTGAGTTTTCCTAGACTTTCCTCCAACTGGTGTTGTTAAAGAGAAATAGAGCACATTTGTGTGTTACTTGGTGGTTCTCATACTTTCTCAGTTGATCTCCGTCCTCTCTAGAAGATAAAATGCTGTACCCTCAGCTTCTGTTACAAAGGTTTGAAAAGACAACAACCAACAACTTCTATAATAAAAATATGGTACTGGAAGTGTATAAGTATTCTTTTTACAATTGATTGTGGTATTTTCTCCACATATCAGGAGTTTGTGACCACAATTAAACTTTCTGTAATACACTTCAGATAAAATTAGAAGCTGCTATATACTGACATATCTCCACTTAAATTAATGCTTTTTCATCCAGAAAGTGCTATTTTGTTTGGATGTTAAATACTTTCTTGTCCCACTGCTATTAAATATAATAAAGCAAGGAGACTCAGGTAGATCAGCTTAATGACTTATCTTCCCATTAAAAGGACTGTTCCCTATAGTTATTCGTATGAGGTGAAGGATGTTTAATCAGATATTAACTAGGCACTATTAATACTAAGTGGCTAAGACTGAACAATTTTTAGCACAGAGGAAATTGTGTTTTGTCCCATGTGGTCCCATATGAAAACATAAAATGGGATCTTTGTTACTAAAATTACAAATTCAATTATTCTTTCAGTTCAGTGAAACCATATGCAACCTTCAGCTGAGAACTGCTTTAAGCATTCAGTACTTTTGGGGGACTCCTTCTCCTTGCAAGAAGCATGCTTAAGTAGTTAAATTACCTGGAAAATAACAGTAAAAAACACAACAATGATAGTTGTGCTGACAAACAGGTTTTTGTCATGCACTTTGTCCTTATCCAGAAGTGCAACAAGAGCAAAAGCAACTGCTCCACGTAGTCCACCATAGGACATCACCACCTGGTCTATTATCTCCAACTGGACCGTTCTGTAGCGGTTGAGAATCCATGTCTGTAAAACTACACCTGTAAAAAACAAATGTCAGCATGTCTAGAAATACCCTTGTGCAATGTCAATATCCCAACTGTGTGTAACAGAAATGGTACCACCACACCACTTTCGTAACAATCTACTCCACCCACTTCCCCCTCTGTAGCACTATGCTGCCCACTTGGTGCCTTCTCCTTTACATCAGGTCAAAGGAATTAGATGGAGCTGCTTCTGTGAACCAGCAGCTCTTCTTCTGAGAGCGCTGCCCTCCAGCACAGGCACTACAGGGCAAGTTCTGCTGCGTCCTGATCTTTGAAATTCACTGAGAAAGAATAGAATTTCTAGCACCATAACCAGTGATATTCACATGGTCATTTAATAGAAACGGGTTAAAACAGCATTGATTTACGGACTAAGTGTGGTACCCTTTAAAAATCACTAAAGAGAATGTTTATGTCATTGTCTTAGGAAGGGTGGTCTAGTTATGCTAACACTGTCTTCAGACATACAGGTGAGATGCTGCCTGCTTCAGGAGAACTAAAGTTCTAGTTATCCCAATGTGTTCCAGAGCTCCCACCATACAGAGGAAAAACAGTTTCACCACTCCTCCAAGTGGCATGGCACACATGTCCCACTGCAGCATGCCAGTGCTGTTAACCAATGCAAGACAGATATTTCTCTTTTCAGAGAATTTTGAACTTGTGCCAAGGGAAGAGTGTCTGTTCACTGTAAGAAGGGACTCTTAAAAATCCATTCATGCCACCAGTCTACCTCTTCAGGGTATGAGACCTGCAATTGCATGAGGTATCATCAGGTATTTAGTAATTTGCCAGTGTCTAAGATCAATTACTTTAATGGGTGCTTATTGTTATTGCTGAATATTTACTATTTAATTGTTGAGCACATTTATTACAGGATAGTTAAACACTTATTTCAGGAAAACAAACAGTGTCAAAGACAAGATATTGAAAACTCTTTTGAACACCTCAGGCACATTAGCAGTTACTGAGAAGCAGTTAAATGAACAATGCTTACAGACTGTTCAGAAAGGAGGACAAGGGGCTAGACACTTAATTCAGCTCAGGAACCTCTGAGACAGAATAAGAACACAGAGTCTAGGAAACTTGCCAGCTAGATAGACATGTAACCTGTTATTTGAATTTAAGTCAAGACAAACAGGCAAATAAACCAGTTTAATTTATTCCCAGGTGTAAGTACATACACCAAATCACTACATGTGTTACTCTCTACAAGCGCTTCATTCTATGCCTTTTTTGTGACTTCAGCAAAACTACAGTAGAACTATGTACATAGCTGGGCAAGTCATTTTTGGTATTTTGAAATGTTTGCAAACTTATACAGCCCCAGTAAATTGACAGTAGGTAATCACTACCTGCCACAGTCTTATTTGCTCACTTTTTTATCAGTCCCTGAGAATTATTTCTTAAGCCAGAGACCATGCAGTGTAATTAATGTATAGTCCGATATCACTGTGTGTCTAAAACCTGAAGTCAACCATAAAATTAGCTTAAGACAATCTCTCTATTACCAAATTTGAAAGAGCTGAAGGAATGATATGGCTGACAGGATTCACATATTTGGTTAAAGAACAAAGTCCTCTTCACTGGGAGATTTTGCCAATACCATGTACTGGGTCAGCAAAGGTTAGCCACTGGATGATTCATGTTAGCTGCTGGGCTAGTCATATCCTCACACATCATCAAAAATGAAATCTTGCTGTATTTTCAGCATATGATGAAGCTTACTGTAGAGATCTACTCTCCTAACCCAAACCGAACCATAAATTCAACCAAAATAAAGGTAATGTTTTAAAAGAAACAAGCCTAGAACTCCAAATTTTGTAGGGAGGGGTATAAAGAATATGTGATTGCATTAGCAACACAGTGCAAGAATAGGAAGATTATCCCCTTACCAATAACTCTATATACTGAGATGAAGACCAGAGTCAACAGAATAAAAGCTGTATTCCACATCCAGATATCTGGATTTACAGCTGAAATTCCCAGGAACATGAAGATAATAGTTTCTGCTCCACTGGCCATCATTTTCATGGTATATCTTACAGTTGTAGAAGACTGTTCAGATATGTTAGCTTTGACATATTTCTGACAGCAAATGCCACAGAAGGTTATCCTAGAAAAAGAAGCGATTGTTCAGAAAATATCTGCTGCAACATTTAATATTATTTCCATCTGTCTGTCACATAGTGATAAAAACCCACCCCATTAATTCCTAAGAAAAAATAAACTCAGGAGCCCTTGTGAAGTCTAGTCTAGGTAAAAAGCATATCTCAAACATTCATTCTGAGATAACCTCAAGAGGCCTGAAGATAGCATTTCATTAGATCACAACAGACTTTAATTCTCTTCAGATTATCATACGTCTTACATGTAAAATTTTAAATCTTGTTTACATTAGACATAAACTAGTGACCTCTTTGCAGAAAGATTTTTTGATCTTGGATATACTTACTGTATCATCTACAAACATGATAAGCAAAACTGAGAAGAAAGGTGTGCCAGGAGTCAATGGGTACTAAAAGAAGAGAGATCACAGGGGTACTCAAGCCAAAACAGGCAAAATTTAGGCAAAACTTAGCAGACCAGCCAAGTCAGAGAGAGCAGTGAATAATGACATTCACATAATGCCATAGAAAAATATTGCTTTGGTTACACATTATAGGGAAAGATGTCAATACAAATGGACAACTGTTAAGATTGAAGTATTATTAATAACTAAGAAGGAAGAGTCATGTCTGTCTTTTGTAAAGGAGTTCTCATGTTGCACAGCAAATACTGGAAAACATATTCCTTTTCAAGGCTGAATGACAGTATTTGCAAATTATAATTTACTGCAGTGTGAAAATACTGTTATCCAGCATAAGCTTCATGAGTGTCATATTTATAGCTGTCCTATATAATTTAGGCCTTTCTTTCAATATTTTTAAAAACCATATTTCCTTCTCAGCCCCTTCCCAGAGAGCAATAAAAAGAAACTTACGCCAGGATAGCTGAAAGAGATAGCATCTCTGCTGTGAGGTAGGACAGGTAGGAAATGATAAACACAAATCCAGGTTCAATGATTCTCACGTGCTTGGTGAAACGACTGACCAGTGAGAGCAGGAATGCAAAGAAAATGCCAACCAGTGTCCCGCCAAGGCTCACCACAAAGAACGACACTGAAAAGCAAAACCTAACACAGCTTAAACAGTAAAAGTACAATGGTTTGAATTCATTCTCTTGCACAGACCTAACAGCAAATGGCTAGTAAATGAGAGAAAATTTTGGAGGACATGTCAAAATATATTTCTAAAGTGAAACAACAGGAAATACTTTTGAGCATTTGGTATGTGAATGTAGCATTCTGTAGAAAATCAAGGTTACTTTCTTCTAAGCCTCACCATTTTAGCTTTATACAAAAGACACTACATTTAATTTGTACTGTTTTTTCCCATGTTCTGTAAACAAATGTATTCACAAAAGCATATTCTAGAATATGTCAAAGTCATTGTTAAAACATTTATTCATAAGATAATGTAGTAAGTATCATGTCATGCTTGGAATGGGAAATAGGGACTCTATTTTTAGGTAAATAAAATTTCTTGATAGTCACTGGCAAACGTTACTGGATGGCAATCAGTGATAAGGGGTGAGAATGCCTATACACAATCTCAACTTTCCTGGAATGCAGGGAGGGAGAGCATAGGCTGAAACTAAGGACATGTTATTAAATACAAAGAAAATACCAAGTTTGGTGATCTTACCAAATTAATTCCACAACTGTTGAGTCTCCTCAAAAGAAAACAGATCTATCTGATTAAGTTTTCCAAATATTCAGGAATATTTATCTAATTGTTTTCTTAAGACATTTGTCTATGCCATACTAGTGTGGTAATATGAGTAATAATGAAAAGGGTTGAAAAATAGCTGTTACCAATAGCATATTAATAATATTTTGTTTAAAATACTACATATGCACATATATCACATATGAGATACAGAATTGAATTCTACACACCTATGCCTTTGAGACATTCAATTCCTGTCACATTCGTTGGACCTATTGCAACGAAAGTTTCAAACACATTGTACAGGACCTGAAAAGAAAAGTAGACTAACTCAATAATTGCTCCTGAATTGAGCCTATTAAAATAATCTCATTATGGGCCTTAACATTATGAATCCTGAAACCGTGTGTGGCTGAGGGAAATTCTGTGTGGAGGGAGAAGACTTTGCAGATTTGATATTTTTTCAAAATGGAGAAAACGCAGTGGAGCAAGAAGAAACAATTTTTTTTTTTAAGAAAAAACCACAATTTTCCATTTCTCATTTCAATGTTTCCTATTGATAAGAAGGATTGTTACATAGAGATGTGTTTTCTAAGGCACTTCTCACTGTAAAATCCAGATATTTGACAGATTTATTTAATCACCTGTATAAGATAAATAAGATAATTAATAAGATGCTAATAATGAGACTAAATTGAAATATATTGAACATACATAAGTTGAACATAAAAGAGAATAAACTGCAATAATTGTACTAAAGCTTTTAAAATAACAAGCTTTTAAAATAATGAATAACCTTATTCATACCCCTGCCTAATGAGGTTTGTATGAGCATCATTTTTGACATATGCCTGTTTAAATTGTTCTTAATTCCTCTAGTGACAGAGGAGAACTTTACTATGGCTTTCTCAGCTTTCCTTGTTGCAACTAACCTTGATAATTCTTATCATATTTACCCAGTCACAGTATACAGGTTACTTTGCTTTGTAAGAGTAGTCTTTTACATTTTCATGTTTAAAGAATGCCATATCATCTACTTTCTTCTCCAGGCTTTCCATTTTCAAGGTAAGAACTCCACTTGTTTCAAATTTCCTCACAGACTGTGCTTTCTGACTCCTGATCATGCTTGCTCTTCTCTTCTAGATTTCCTTCAATGAATCAAATTTTCTTTTATTTGTAGAGTGAGTGTTCATGTTCATTTCGCAGTAACAAAAACTCATTTCCTTCTGAAAGCCAGTGATGTTGATACTTGAGTTCATCAAAGGTTTATTTTAATATTTCTTCCTGTCAATACCCCAAAACTACTAATGATACTGATATCAAAGGGCAATTAGGTTTCTCTGGAAGCCGTTTTCAAATTCGTGTGAACAATTAGGCTGCAGCCAGTGACCTTGCAGTGCCTTGCTTCCTTGGTTGCAAAAAGTTAAGAAACTGAGCCTAGTGAAAATGTCTTACCCTCCTTTGGATATAGGCAGGAGCAGAAACAGGAAATGATCCAAAAGTGAACTGAAGCTGTATAGCAACTTGGTTGCACAGCACCTTTCTGCCTTGGGACTTTCTAGTCCCTGTCTACTAACACTGCACTACAAAACTATCGACTATTTTATTGTAAGAAAAAATTTTATGTGAAAAGAAAAGGTGTTTCAATCAAAATAAAAATATCAGTAGAAATTTGAGTTTCTTTAAGTCTATTAAAGTCTTTCTAAATAAAAAAAGAAAATTAACATGTTTGAAAAAAAAAAAACAAAACAAAACAGAAATGTCACACAAGTTTTTCCAAATTGGATCTTTGTTACATATGTGTTGATAAATATCTGATTGAAGTAAAACAGAGGGAGAAGGCATAAACACTTTGGCGAGTATTCTTTCTCACTGGTTGAGGTATGCATAGAAATTATAGGCATAACAGAAATATGCAGAAAAGACTATGTGCATTAAAAAACAACAGCAAAGAAAGGCTTAAAATCCTTGGAACTAATTTCATTAAGTCATAAAACCTCTACTTGAACAGCAAAGGTAAATAAAACATGCGTCCCTGAAACTTCATTTGAAGTGTCCAGCCCAGGACTGTATATTTTTATGTCACTTACCAGCTCCAAATAGCTTTCATGCTGAAACATCTAATCTTCACAATATAGGATTCATAAGTAAGACAGAAGACACCATGAGCTACACTACAATAGCCCATGCGTAGATACACACAGATACTACAGTATTTCTTTTAAGGGGAAAATGCATTTCAGAAAAAAAACCCTAGAGTTTGGGTGACTTGGGGATGTATAATTTACTTACCACAGTTACAGCATCATTCAGAAGTGATTCTCCAAAAACAATGATGAATAGAACTTCATTGACATGGACTTCTTCAAACACTGCCAGAACAGCTACAGGATCCACAGCAGCAATTAAGCTGCCAAAGAGGAGGAAGTCCAGCACTCCAGAGTTCAGTTTGCCTTCAAAAACAAAGCAAACAAATAATAAGCGGAATCAGCTCTGTATTATCTATAGTAATGACAGACTGTGATATTAGAGATAATGTCAAATCCTTCAAAATAGGGATCCTAAGGTATCAGCTGGAAAGTATGGTACAGACATTATTTAAGAAGTTCAGTACTGTGCCATCTTGTTTCCTACAAATTTGTTGGATCCAGCATTGGCCCATGTGGATCAAAGCTGTTTCTGGGAGCAGGACCAGTACAGGCCTGTTCTTACAGCAAAGTGCTCCCATATTTAAACTGAGTTTGTATCTGTGTGTGGTATGGTTTGTCTAACTTAAGTAAATTATCATAGGGTAACTGAGAACTCGCAAGATGTCAAGAGGACTATACCAGTACTTCTGAAGTGAACATTACAAAATAGTTCATGTCACAGGTCAAATTTGACTTCTACAGTGGGGCTTAACTACACTCAGTGCAGTTGAACACAATTGTGGCCTCCTTATTCAAGTAGGCATTTATTGATAGGTGCAGTTAAGCCACTTGTTTCCAAATTAGGATTCATGAGGTCACTGTTAAATTTTCTGCAAGTGGACCATAAAAACAGATGAAGGACCAAAATGTACCTCAATATATTTGTGTTGTGGCCCCTTAGGAATTTTGACAATGTTTTGGAACTACAAAACTCTGGCAACAGTGTAACTGGGTATTTTTTTAACCTTCTTTTAGTTATTAATGTTATTTTGTTCAGTTATGCAAACAGACCAAGACAAACATCACTGTCACTTTAAAAGGAGCAGAAAAGGGAGAACCACAAAGATCTCTTTGATCAGCTTCCTAAATATCTTGCACAATTTACCCTCTTCATGAAATCAGGAGTAGTAGTATCCCCAGTCATTTTTTTCTGGGGAAAAGATTTCTGAAATAGTATAGAACAGTAAAATTCCCTTTGTGTTCATTAATGGATGGAGGAGTAAGCAAGGTTCATTAAGAGGTAATGGTGCTAAAATTATATGAGGAAGAGCAAAGAAGGAACATATTGAGAATTTGTTCATTAGAATGCAGTGCAGAAGCCCATGCCCAAAATTAATCTATAGTTGTATTAGGCATGATTTCTATAAGTAAAGAAGAAATTCATCTGATTAAATGGTTTGGAAGCATGAGTCAGGCAATGATAGTCAGTAACCGTAGCCACAGGATCAATATTGCCTGTAAGGTACTTCCAGAACAACATGGCCACTCCTCTAGAAAGTATTCTTATGAAGTAATTTTTCAAATTCAAAATGTTTTGTGCTTAGATCATAATTGAAAGAGGAACTAGATTTCGAATGTTTTTGATACAAAATTATATGGGCATATTTACTCAAGGAAAGGATACTTATATGGGCAGCCAGAAACATGAGTAGACAACAGCCTGTTATATGTGACAATGGCCAATAATCTGATGGAGCTGCAGATGTATATATTCTCTTAGCTGCTATCCGCCAATCAGAGCATCTACAATGTTTTCCATGAAGTGTATGGGAATCTTGGCAAGGCCCTGAAAACAGAAATTCATAGCTTGCACAGATATATGACTACCTCATATTTTCAAAAATATAAATAGTCTTGTTCACTCTTGGACATATTGGGCCGTGAAGAAGGACTGAATCTACCCATTTCAGCATGAGAGTGGGGTTGAAGGAGTGACCTTAAGTCTGTGCCAAAAATTCTGAGAATAGCCTTGAACCTGAATCTAAGTAATGATTCCACCAAATGTTGTCCTCCTCTGGCATGCTTAAGGAAGGAACAAGTCCAATGACAATAACTATCAGAGATCAGGGTATAATAGAATGTAAGGTTTTAAAATAAATTGGCTCACTGAGATTGCTTATCTTTTTTATGTGTTACCAATTATAATCATTGGTACATTCTTTGAAGACTTGCAAAGCTAGTGAGCAAATATTTATGGGGAGATTAGGACACATCTGTAATTCCTACAAAGCACTGTCAGGAGGCATGGAGTTTCTGAATCAGACTTTTACTTAGACTAATAACACAAGTAATTTCCAAGTGACTAGCTGACAGCAGCGACACCTGAGCAAGATAAGTTTGCTGGGCTCAGTTTAAGACTTCTAGACACACTCAGCATGTTGCAGCTATGACCTAGATGGTACAGGAAAAACTGCTCTAAGCATTAGTCACAGCCACAATTATTCCACAATACCGCACGTGTTAGTTCTCCAGCAGATGGGGAACAGTTCAGTGCAATCAGCCAGAAAGGTTTAGGATTAGGTAACTCTTCCTATTCTGGGAAAGCAGATTGATATGACTATTAGTTAACAGTTAAGGTGCTAATCTTTTCATTTCACTTCTAAAGAAGGATTTTTTTGTCCTTATCACCGTCTCTATTTTCCTACAAGGGTATTGAATGCAAACAAAGAGCTGCTTTTGTTTATTTATGTAGGAAATCTAAGCAATCTAATTTGGATTATGCACCCTTATATTGCTGGACAGTTCTACAAGCCCATTGAATGGCAAAGTTGAAAGTCACTTGTTTTTAGTTCATCTTAGTCTGTAGTGGATTTACATTTCTACATTTTAATGATATTACTTTTAGCATTATTCACTTCAATTGTAGAAAAAGTAGGATAGAAACAAAAATATGACACAGAACTTCAACCAGAAGCTACTACAGACTCTTCTAGAAAATGAGTAACTCGGTATTCTCCTAGCTTCAGCAAGTAAGTAACAACAGCAAGGTTTATCACAAAGTATGGTGCTTAGAACTTATTGACATCTTGGAGGTCAACACAATGTATTTAGTGGATTAGTGAGTAGGTGTCAAGCAGGTATTTTAAAGTCCTGCTCAGCTTTGCTGGAGAATGGCACAGTTTGAATCAGGGACAGCCTCCTCTGGCCTTTTTAGTAGCTGAAATTAGAACTCTAGTAGGTTATACTATGTCGGCGTGGCAAAGACAGGTCCCCACGGTATACCAATTAATGTTCTTTCTAAACTTAAATTCACCAGGCATGTCAGTTTATTGTTTGCGTTTGTTAACATCCCTATATTTATCTTGTAGAGCTTTAGCTGTGACCTGTGGTAAGGGCTGATTCTGCTGTTTAACTGTAAGCTCAGAGTTCTAGTAAACACTATCACTAAAAGATTTGCATAATGATGAAGCAGAACATGTAGACACCAAATCCAGCTTTTGCAGTTAGATGAGAGTTGTTTACTGATTGGGACAAGAGGAAGAGATAGGAGAATTTTTCAATTAAAACAAACTTTTTTGAAAAGACTTGACTTTTCCATTTCACGTTATAAAGAGATCAATCCTTTTCCTTTAATGATTTATATCAAACTAATTATCGTTCATTATATTTCCCAGAACACAATGTTAAGAAAATAAGTTTGGTGGTATTTTTAAAATTATTTGAAGCATCTTGGATATTTAAATAAAGAAATCCTTTCCCACTATGTTGCAATAGCAACATCCTTCTGTCATATATTTTGTTCCTGAAAACCTGATTTTATTTATAAATGTGATATTGTAGATGCAGTATAAAGAGTCAACAGTGTTTGTATCCGAGCTCTCACCTTTGTAACTTCTAAAGAAAAAAAATGCTCCTTCCAAAATGTGAGCTATAGTAAGGTAAATATATAAAATGTAAGCTAAATTTACCATAGCTGTCTATATTACAAATATCCGCAGTTAAATAACATGTGTCCAAAGAACAAGTCTGTACAGATTAAGCACTGCTGTTCTGGGCCTGTTCTATCACCTCTGTGCCCTTTTATTATAGAATAATTGAGATAGAGTGCATCTTAGAATCATAGAACAGTTTGTGTTGGAAGGGACCTCTTACGCCCTTCAGTCCATCCCTCCTGCCATGGGAGACAGGGACACCTTCCACTAGATCAGGTTACCAGGTTACTCAGAGCCTCATCCAACCTGGCCTTGAACACTTCTAGGGATGGGGCATCCACAGTTTCTTTGGGCAAAGCACAAGCAATAGGGAATCTTCACTTTTTAGATTTGTGGTCTGGGAAATTCTGCACCCTTTCAAACCCCATTGGACTGCTCTCATTAAAATGACCTTTTTTTTTTTAGTAAGACATCTGCTGTCAGTAAGACATCTGCTACCTCGTTCTGTAAGTCTAAAATTTCTAAATCTTCAGTTACAATTTCCAGGCTCAGAAGACAAAAAAGAGATGTGGAAATGTGTCACACCTATATACCCACTCAGCAACCATTCCTTGATTAATATTAAAGCTGACTGAAGGAAGGCACTTCCATTTCACAGTAACTTCTGAGGTTTCTATCACAGCAGAAAGAAACAAGCCCTTCACTGTGTATTTTTGTCCAGACGTCCATTAGCAGAAAGAATCCTGAGCTTTACCCTGAGAGTGTACACACACATTTAGAGCAGGACAGCACGAGAGACATGATTCAAGTTGCTTTTGTGCTGTCTCCAGGGAAGATTTCTCAGGTCATTGTTAAATTTCGTAAAGATATTACAAATTGCTTCTGTCAAAATTGAACTTTTCTGCTGGAAAGAGTTGTTAAGTTGTAAATCATCACCCAGCTAACAGTTGGTATACAGTAGTGCCTTCATAAATCAAACTTACCCATTATTCCTGTCAGATAGACACCATAGAGAGATAAACCAGTTGTGGCAGCATTCCAAATTGTCCCAATGACAGCATACAAAAGGATTGTGCCAAGATTTCCAAAGAACAATCTATTTGGCATAAAATATCCAGCATCCAAAACAATGGGGGGCAGCAAATAGAAGAAAAATACAGTTGGTGTCAGGGTGAAGGAGGCAATGTGATCTGCTGCCAATACAATGCCACCAAGAACAATACCGAGGACAATCAGCAGAGCACTTTCTGGAACCACTCGAGTGACTTTGTGGGACAAATGGAAAACTGCAAAGAAAAAGGAAAACAATGAGTCAGAAATTAAATGGAGAAACAATTTGAGCAACAACTCTTATTAGCTGGCAGTTTTGACTTCACACAAACTTCTTGCTTTCATTGTTCTTAGGTCCAAAAGCATGTATGGAATGCATGAGATAAAGAAGGTGTAAAAAGCCACTTATAGAATAAAATAAAGGTTGATTTTCAGATTTTATCCAGCATATTTTAACTTATATGAAAACAATATTCATTAACATTTATTATCCTTTATTGGGTTATCTTCTCCATACAAGATCTGTTCAGGGAAAGATAGTGTTCTATGCAAAGCAGTAAGTGCAAAACTGAAAAGAAATGGTGGAAATGCTAGAAATATATGACTTTATTATTTATTTTTGTATCTAAAAATACACATCTGACCTAATAATTTGTTTAGAAATGATCAGTGTACTAACAGGCATACTGGAAGATGGGAGAAGAATGCTGACAGAAGAACAAGTTTCAAGACAACTCTTTTTAGATTTATAGACTATTCTGATAATGTAGCCTTCAGCAGGAGCAAAATTAAGCTCATATCCTGGGAGATCCGTTTTGAGCCTTTTCCTCAAAACCTCCGTAATACAGATTTCAGTTAATTCAAAGGCTTTCTGAGGGAATGGGGGCTTTAGTGGTGCCTTCAAATATAGATATATTCATGCAAAATGGTTCTGCAACAGGCTACTTTCTTTTGTATAAAGTGTCGCAAAATCTGTGTGTTACAGTAATATGTCAAATCTGTTAATAGAGACAAGCAGTCAATGGTATCTGTCATAGAAAAACATGTAATGGTATGATGTGGTAAAACTATTAATATAGCCAATAATCAGAGGGAGGGAATATTACTGAATGCCATAAGTGAATCTAAAGAGACAGAAAGACGGCACAACCAGACAGTAAAAACAGACTTTTCAAAGTGACAGAAACACCACTAAGACTGCAAACACATGTAGCAACATATATTTAAAATGCCCTTGTTAGGTGTCAGATAAAAGAAAAAAGAAAGCAGAAAGAAGAACAGAAAGAATTCTACAAAAATTCTACAAAAACAAGAATTCTACAAAACAAGAATTCTACAAAAACAGATGGAATATGAAATAGGAGGAAGTGGCAGAAGTGTTTGATAATAAGGAAGCACAGATGGTTTAATTGACTTTCTTGGGATTTCTGTGAGCTTGTTCTTCAGTTTATCTTAAGTAATGATGTGTCCCAGATGACCTGAACCCTGAACCCCCTTTGTGATACTGACCCAATAAATGCGACTTCACTTACATAGCTTTGTGTTGAAAATGTGAGTTTCACTTTAGTGAACTTTCTCCTAGTTTGAACATCAGCTGTGTTGAAGCTGTTACAATGCTAATGCAATTTAGCTCAAAACTAGCTTGGACAAGAACCTATCATTAAGATTTCCAGACTCTTAAGCCATAGTGGAAGAATCTTTCCCATGATCATGTAGAGATCTTAGACCGGGTTACTTTACTGAAAGACCATTGTTTTTCTTCCCACCCAAGTATTTGTCCTAGTCAAACATTTACTAGTTACCTTTAGATTTTAAGGGCCCCATTCCTGAACTGTCTGCTTTCGTCTTGGCTGCATCTATACAGTCAATGTTAGACGCATCATCCATCATTATAGCAACCCCAAAATAACATGGTTCCTGTAAGCTGTATAACCCCCCTGGTCTCATCAGAATAGAAAACGTAAAAGGAAAAATGATAACAGCCTGTCTACACCAACAATGAGCATGAATGTAGATGCTCCTGAGTGTTTGTAGACAAGACTTGAAAACGAAGCCATCTTAGAACACAGCTAAAAAGTAGGATTAATACAATAGCAAACAGACATGAAAACAAACTGCATTCAGTGAAGCAGACTAAACCATGCCAGTTTTCTATGTCATCTGTGTCATGTAATCAAGAGATGAATAACACTTCACAGAAACAAACACTGTGGGTTTTCTCAGTTCATCTCTTCTCTTTGTTATAAAATCAATTGGGCTTGCATTAAGGAAAAGAAAAAAAAGAAAAAGAGAGAAGAAATGAAATAAAGTAAAACAAACCAGCTACTACTCCATGTGTATAAATTGCAGCATTTAACTTCTCAAAAATCTTTCCTACTAGCCATTCTTGATTCCTTGAATTTTCAGTCAGTGAATTATCAACTAATTTATCACCTTACAGAGTAGGGATTATCTCCTTATCCCTGAAAATGAATGTTGCTGAGCTAGTCTTACTAACTAAAGTCTGTTTTTCCTACTCTCATGTCAGCAGATAAGCCATGACTACAAGACATTAAAGTTAAAAAATTAAAATAAACTTGTGAAAATTTTTTTAGAACTAGGCATTTGGGGAGGGGGGAAAGCTTGTCCATCTAAAAATTTATATTCTATAGAATTCTCCCCTTTACAACCAAAACCAGTTTTGAATGCTGGGAAGCCAATCTGATTTTGGTTATAACATTGTCTCCACCTATAAATCACATGTTCCCCAGGAATCAGCTCTATCATATCTGTCTGTGTTCCCTTTAACTCAAATTGACTGATTATCTGTACCAGATTTTAATACTAGCAGTCATAAATTCTTCCACTCTGTTAGTTTAGGGATGAGGGCCATGGACAGGAAAGTCATTGCATGAATGAGCCTCTAAGAAGATTCTTTTCATTATTGCATTTGACCCAAGCAAAATCTGAAAACTAGACTCTCTTTGGTTTAAGATAACTGCCTAGCTAACTCTTCAGGCAGATAGCATGCCATATGATTAACAGAAACATGTCTATAAACATAGAAATAGATAAAAGGAAAATACCACAACTGATGAAATTAAATAGCTTTAGACTAAGATGCACTTGGAACTTATATTGATGTTTGAGTTCATATTTGCACTTACAATAACTAATGGGGTTTTTTGGCTATGTGCATGAAATATATTTAATCAAGATTGTGCATTATCAGTAGTTATTACATGTATGAAAATTGACAGAGATTAATTCCAAATTCACTCCTTAATGGTTTTTTTACAATTCATTATCCTGAAGTGATGTCCCTAATACATTCTGAGTGTGTTACAAACTCACCTAATGATAGTACTTTCATTTCATGAAGTTTGCCTTTACTTGCCTAGAAGAGATCCAAAAATAGTCCCACCAAATGAATTATGTCCCCATGACAAAGTAGAATTGGAAGCTTTAATTACATCTAAATGTATAGCATGACGAGGTATTGCACCTGACTGAAGAGTAAAATACAATCCAACACAGTTTGAAAACTCCTAATGGACAAGGAGTTTAGTTTGATTCTGTTATGAAAGAAATTAAAAATATCAGGAAGGATAGCATACAGTGCTGCTCAGATAAATTACTCTGTAAGGAACCAAGAGATGAAATTAAGTCTATTTTCACTGCTATTGATAAGGAAAAGTACATTAATATGTTTTAATGAGGAGAGGGAAAGGGTAAAGAAACAAAAATTGTAGCCAGTCCGTGGCATAAGAGGAATAACAGTGCACAGGACAATTTTGTGATCTATAAATTTTAACATTTACCATTTTAACATTTAGCATTTAGAATTCATCTACATAAGTCTAGACACAGTATTAATGAAAAAGTTAAACATATGCCTTCCATCCAGTACATGCTAAACCTGGTTTGAAAGTGGATTGGACTGGCTAGTGGGTAAACTGTTTAAATTCAGGCTGAGCATTGCTTAATTAGAAGCTTTCTACAAAATTAAGAAACAATTGCATGGTATAAACATCCTGTGATTTCTTTTCATATGTTTGCTTTGAGATCCACAAAAAGGTACTATGGCATTTAACCTATCTGATGAGAAATACCAAACAAATCAGCAATCTATGATTTGTTGGCTGGAACCAGTTTCTTTTGAGCCAAAGAATGAAACATACTTTAAGAAGTAAGCTGGGTTTTATGGCCTTTTAAAAATACAGTAACTTAGATGAAATTCTTCACTGGAATTTACAGCATTCGGTGAATTCTCTTCCTTTCTAAGGCTGTCTGAGACTGCTTTGCAAGATCTGATTCAACAAAATAAGATTTTTCTCAGTTACTCAATGAAATGAAGACAGAAAGACTGGTTAAATAGCAAGGGAAATAAATTTAAAAATACTAAAGAAAAGATATTGTGCAATTCATTCCCAAGTAATGTAATATTTGTAGACAAAGAAAATTTTCTGAAGTAGAGTTTTCACGTATTTATTTCCAAATTGTCTCTAATGAAACCTATTTTTAGATAATACTGATTTTTACTTATCAAATGAAACATTTTAATGCCTTAGTTCTAGATTTTTTTTGCTTTGTTTCCAGCTGAAATGAACAATTCAAGGTATATTTACCGCCTTTAGAAAATACAGAACTACAAAAATGAAAATCTGAAACTACCTGTTAAAAATGCTGCTAAATTTCAAGATTTATGCAGTCATTTCAGCACTATTTCAAGCGAATAATTACATTTCCATTAACTTTGACAGTGTAAAACCAAGGCCCTGAAAACACAAAATATTTTTTCAGCTAATATCATTGTTCCAATCCATCACAAAACCTACTGCACATGCACAGTACACAACATGTCATTCAGAAAAATCAGAAATTATGATAGTAATTCTCTGCTGAGGTTTCTTTTCCATGTATCTTTGGATAAAATCCAAGGAGTCACAAAATAATTCAGAAAATTAAAAGATTCTCAGCTTTATAATTTCCATAGTTTCCATGAAAGCATAGATATGAATTTGCAAACATTTCTAAGCTCCTCCTATCACTGCTAGAGGGAGGTATGTGGTCTTTTGTTATTTTCTGTGTGTGGTCTTTGTATTTTTGTTAGTGGGTCAAATATCCACTGACAGTATACTATTAGTCTATTTTATGCAACTGAAGTTATTGTACTAAACTAAGTCATGAGTGCTTTAAATTTGAGATCCAAGACTGGATTCTCTGTAACCGCTGAAAACCCTTCCATTGACCAAAG